ACCATTATGATTCAGAGGTGAATGTGCTACTAACTGAGCCATGGCTAACACAAGTCAAACAAAAGGGGATTTTCTTCAGTGTCCCAGTTAACATCTGAACCTCAGTGTTTGAGATATTCATGTGTGTAAATCGGTTGCTTTATTTTCTAAGTGTCAAGGAAGACACGACAATAGAACTCCATTGACTATAAAGTGCATCAAATGTTCCAAGAGATGAAACGCATTTTTAAAACGTAATTTCTTCTTTTATGTCGTCTTTAGTTTGAGTATTAAAAACCTGAATAGGGAAGGTCAATTTGCTGAAATCGCTTGGCAGGATGGCTGATCTGTTTTAAACTGGGCATCCTTCATATCGAGCCAGAACCCTCTCCGCAGAGACGTCTGTCAGGGATATATGGAATGTCAGGTGGCCCCAGAGGACCACCCAGCAAAAACAAAGAGCAATCCATGGCAGCTTTTTCTTAGATAAATATACTAAGGAATATGTAAATTGTGGGGAATCCAAAACCAGTGATCACCAATATAAGATCATCAGTAATAAATCCCATAAGAATTTAAGCAAAAGTTTATTTACCCAGAAGGTGTACAGAATGTGAAACTTTGCTACCCTACGGCAATCATTTGGATTTACTTAAAGGAAAGCTTTACTTGAGAATACCTGAGAAAGAAATATTCAAATAACATTACATGAAGAGTGTCAATAGGTGGATTATGTGGATGGTAAACATCAGCATAGGCCAGTTGGACCAAATGGTTTGTTTGCATGCTGTCAGCTCAATGTAACTCTATAGTATGAAACAAATGTGAGTCAATAGTTATGGTGCAAATCAAAGCTGATCAAATTGATTTGTGGAACAGGCTTGAGAGGCTGAATGGCATTCAGCTGTTCTTACTGACTGTATCCATTTATGAATAACTGTCTGGCTGTCTAATATTTCTGCAGAATAAGCAGATGTCACTGGGTGATAAGATGGACCTGGCCTCCTACCTACTGAAACCCATCCAGCGGATGAGCAAGTATGCACTGCTGCTCAAGGATATGATCAAACAGTGTTCCAAAACCCAGGAGCAGGAGCTCTCTGATCTCCAAGCCGCTGAAGAAATGGTTAAGTTTCAGCTACGTCATGGAAACGACTTGCTAGCCATGGATGCCATTCGTGGATGTGACGTAAGGAAACTTTGTAGTTGTTCTGAACAAAATGGTTGGAAATCCCAGTTTGGCATTTGAAAGCTGCTTTAAGAATCTGGCTAGTGCTTTTGAAGAAAAACACACTCCCCTTCTCCTTTCTCTTTCAATCCTCTGCATCTTGTTGATGGAACGAGTACTTGGGTCTGTTTCCCTTGGGCTTTTGTCTATCTCGTTCTATAAACTGGCACCAGGCTGGTTCGGACAGCACGAAACATGTTACCACCACGCATTTATTCTTCCTTTTGGTATGTGGGACCTTGCTTTTTGCCAATTGGTTGTTGTGCTTTTGTACATTACATAAGCAAGTAGACATCAAAAAAAAGCATCACGATGTTTGAAGATGCAAGATATGTGATGAAGTTGCAAGTTCATCCTCTCTCTTTTTATTGCTGTTGCTATGGTTCATAGCAACGTGAATGTGGCTCGAAAATACAAGTAAAATCTAGTAAGTGCAGTGGCTTATGATTTACACTGATTGCTGGCCTGGACTTTATTCATCTACCTAGTAGAATCCAATTACTAGCCTGACACATGCCCTGAATATTTGCAGCAAAAATGAGCAGGGGTTTACATTAGCTATTTTATACAGGCTAAGCAAAACCTTGCAGGTCAAGTCAATTCTAATTCCTTGATTATATTGCTCCTCTGGAACAAGCTATGGATTTCAAATAAATCAAATCCATCTCCTGGTTTACAGTACAGAGCTACTCCAATCTACTGAAAAAATTCTTCTTTTTCCTCTTTGTATAGTATCTGTGTTGCAGTTTCCATACCGAATTGCAATTTGACAGAAATGTTACAATGACATGGCTGGCCACATTAATTTCCAATAATTATCTGTGAATGCTAAAATGTTCAAGCTGCCCTCTCTCCCTAACTTTGCTGGTCACTGATACAGTGAGCTGTGATTTAGAACCAGGTAATCTAGATTCTGGTGCCAAAATAGTACAATAGTCAGAATGAAACTTTTAATTAAAGTCTGATACACTCTACACTGATATACTCTACTGTGTAAATTATGATTCAATTGTAAATCTGTGTGAGCTTTTTTGTTAGAAAGTGTTGTTTGGGTTGTGACAGGGTATGCGCATGTTAGGCTCATGTCAAAGTTTAGAGCAGCTAAAGTCCAGCTGAATAAGTAGCAAATTGGCTTGTAAAAAAATGGTTACAGAGAAAGAGAGTAAAAGATAGTTAATCAGATCGTCAGAGGCTAGAAGTCAGTTTTTCACAAGCTTCAGTACTGAAATCACTGTTATAGGAACAGGAGTAAGGCATTATTCCTGACAAACGCATTTGCCATTCATTGAGATTGCTGGTGTCTTGTGACCAATTTTCATATACCTATCTTTAATTCCATACCCCTTAGTACCTTTGGTTACATTGATCTTAAATGTAAAAACTATTAATTGGTCTAACTTCATTGCTGTTTGTGGAAAAGAGTGTTAAATGTTTCCATTTCTTGTACCTGAAGTGTTTCCTAATTGCATTTCTAAAAGGCTGCTTTTCTGGCTATGTCCCCTCATTCAACACTTCAACCAATAGAAATAATATATCTATCTATGCCATCTGTTCACTTAATATCTTGAAAACTTTGACTCAATTGCCCCATAATCTTCTAATTTCCAGGGAATTCAATCTTAGTTTGTGTAATCTTTCCTCAACGTAACATTCAAAGTCTAGGTAACATACTTGCAGCCCTAACCTGCACTCCTTCTGAGACTAAGGTGTGGTGCCCCATGTTCACTCTGTAGAGGACCAATGCTCACTTTACTAGTTCATTCCCTTTTTAACCACATGCAGAAATTCTTGTTGGGATTATTGCATAGATCCTAGAAAGGCAGAGCACCGTTAAGACAGAGATGGCATAATATCAAATAACATACCGTATTAAAGGTCCTCACTTCACCATCAGTAGTAACAGTGCAATGGAGTCTGTAATCAATCAGTCAGCCATTTGTAGTGTAACAGTCATGTAATGTAGTTGTAACCTCAGTACGCATAGAACTAGTATAGGTATCTTATAACTAAAATCTTAACTGTATAAATAATTGCAGTTGTTAATAAACATCAAGACATCTGTCTCAACAAGAAGCCAGTCTTTGTGGTATATGTAGATGGGCTAATATATAGGGAAACATTCAGAACATGGCAGTGGAGTTTTACCCAAAAACAAACCACATCAACTCTTCATTGTTGTTTAGATATTTCTGGCTCGTATTTTTTCATACTCTAATTTCCCTCCTTTTTTTAGTCATTCTTTGTTGTATTTTTGTCCTATCTTCCAGTCTGCCACTAATTATTGTGAATCATACACTTTTTCTTTCAATTTGAAAGCTACGGATGATATGTTTTCCCCTAGCTCCCTTTTGTATTTCACCGTAATGACGACCACAAGGAGTAGATGAGGTGAACAATGCAGAGGCTTTAAATGGGGAGCTAGATAAAGTCTAAGATTTTGGAGTAGATTTGTAGCTCGGGTTGTGGGTGTTGAGGTTGGTTGGCTCGCCAAGCTGGTTTCTTGTTTCGCAGACATTTCATTACCATGTTTGGTAACATCCTCAGTGCAGCCTTCAATGAAGCATCGGTGTGTCTTCCCACCTGGTTTTTAAACTCTGGGGTCCGTTGAGATGGGTTGCTTCACTTCCGGTTTTCCTTTGTAGTGGAGTGTATATGGGGTCGAGTTCAATGTGTTTATTAATAGCATGCTTCGTGGAGTGCCATGCTTCTAGGAATTCTCGTCCCTGTCTCTGCCTAGCTTGTCCCAGGATTTTGGTGTTGTCCCAGTCGAAGTGGTGGTTCTCCTTGTCCATGTGGATTGAGATGAGTGAGTACTGGTCGTATCTTTTTGTAGCCAGTTGGTGTTCATGTACTCTTGTTGTTAGTTTCCTTCCTGTTTGTCCAATGTACTGTTTCTCGCAGTCTCCGCAGGGAATCTTGTAGATGACATTGGTCCTGTCCGTGGCGGGGAGTGGGTCCTTAGTTCGGGCGAGCAGTTGTCGTAGGGTTGACGTGGGCTTGGGTGCCACTCTGATGCCCACGAAGCTACGTGTGAACACTATTTAAAAGGGCAACAACACACTGCAGCAACACGGAGCTACGCCAAGAGGAAGAAGAATACCTCTTCCAGGTTTTCAAGGATAATGGATTTCCAAATAATTGGGTCAGAAGATGCCTACTGGAACAGCATCAGAAAGAGACTACACGCCCCGACACACTCATCACACTACCCTACGTCAGGAACACGTCGGAAATCACCACAAGACTCCTACGACCGCTGGGCATCAGAGTGGCACACAAGCCCACGTCAACCCTACGACAACTGCTCGCCCGAACTAAGGACCCACTCCCCGCCATGGACAGGACCAATGTAATCTACAAGATCCCCTGCAGAGATTGCGAGAAACACTACATCGGACAAACAGGAAGGAAACTAACAACAAGAGTACATGAACACCAACTGGCTACAAAAAGACATGACCAATACTCATTCATCTCAATCCACATGGACAAGGAGAACCACCACTTCGACTGGGACAACACCAAAATCCTGGGACAAGCTAGGTAGAGACAGGGAAGAGAATTCCTAGAAGCATGGCACTCTACGAAGCATGCTATTAATAAATACATTGAACTCGACCCCATATACATTCCACTACGAAGGAAACCCGAAAGTGAGACAACCCATCTCAACGGACCCCAGAGTTTAAAAACCAGGTGGGAAAACACACCGATGCTTCATCGAGGCTGCACTGAGGATGTTACCAAGCATGGTAACGAAATGTCTGCGAAACAAGAAACCAGCTTGGTGAGCCAACCAACCTCAACAACCAACCTCAACAGCTAGATAAAGTCATGAGGGATAAAGAAATAAGAATGAATGCTGATAGAGTTAGATGAGATGAGAGTCATATGGAACATGAATACTGACATAGACCTAAATAGTTATTTCTGCTTTGTTTGTTCTATGTAATATTATTTAACTTGAAACTTTCGAATTAACTTTTTGTAACATGCTGTTTGCTCCTTTCAACTCAACAATCATTTCAGTTCCTCGCTAATATATTGCCCTCCTCTTGTGACTACAATTACTAATGCCTGAGGAACCCTGCTGTAATCATTAAAGGATTAATATTTATAGAACCATGCGTGTTGTGATATTTCAATGTGCTTCATACCATCAATATCTTTTTGGGAGTGCAGTTATTTATTTTGTGAAAGAAAGGAAAGACCCTGCGCAGTCCCAAAGCATTTAATAGCTCCTGAAGCATTTTTGAAATGTAGTCACTGTTATCATGTATGAAATGCAACAGCTAATTTATACATTACGCTGTTCCACAAATGGTGAAATAATGATTGGAAAATCGGCCTTGGTGGTGTCCGTTGAGGGATAAACGTTGATAAAACCATCAGGAGTTCTCCCTATTCTACTTGTGAATAGTGATATTGAATTATTTATATCCACACAAGAGGCCTGGTAAGGACTTCGATTTCACCTCTCATCTGAAAGACATATTATGTAAACTGAATCTCGGTTTACTTCCTCTCCAGGTGAATCTCAAAGAGCAAGGACAACTTATGTGTCAAGAAGAATTTATTGTTTGGTGTGGGCGCAAGAAGTATCTGAGGCACATCTTCTTGTTTGAGGACCTTATTCTCTTCAGCAAAACAAAAAGGATTGAAGGAGGATATGATATCTATGTTTACAAGCAATCGTTTAAGGTAATGGAAAAAATCTTCTTTATTTTTAAAATGCTGTGGTCTTAGATGACCATAGAAACAATTTGAATTTATGTAGCGTGCTTAATGCTGTAAACTGTCCCAAAGCAAGAAAGGTCTAGGCCCGAAACGTCAGCTTTCCTGCTCCTCTGATGCTGCTTGGCCTGCTGTGTTCATCCAGCTCTACACCTTGTTATCTCACTTCATGGAACTGTTAGCAATCAGAAATTGACACTGACTCATCTAAGGAGATTTTAACACAGGTGAGCAGCACCTTGGTTAAAGTGGTATATTTCAAGGAATGTCTTAAAGGTGAAGAGAAAGGCTGGAGAGAGTTCAGGAAAGAACTCTTAATTTTAGCATCTACATGGCTGAAGGCACTTTTGACAAATGAGACAAGTTGGAAATCAACAATATGCAAAGGGGTCAAATTTGGAGGAAAACTTGAAGCTTTGTAGGACTGAATGAGATTATAAAAGTGGGATAGAGATGGGGGGATGGTGGTGGTGATGGCCTAGTGGTATTATCGCTGGACTGTTAATTCAGAGACCCAGATAACATTCTAGGGACCTGAATTCAGATCCCACCACAGCAGATGGTGCAATTTGAATTCAGTTTCTAAAAATCCTGGAATTAAGAATCTAATGATGACCATGAATCCATTGTCGATTGTTGGAAAAACCCATCTGGTTCACTAATGTCCTTTAGGGAAGGAAACTGTCATCCTTACCTGGTCTGGCCTACATGTGATTTCAGACCCACAGCAATGTGGTTGACTGTCAGTTGTCCTCTGGGCAATTAGGGATGGACAACAAATGCTGCCTAGCCAGTGACACCCTCGCCCTGTTAATGAATCAAGAAAAAAGGCATGGGGAGATTTCAATACAAGAATGAGAGTTTTAATATTGAGGTACTGTTGGACTAGGAGACAATGTAAATCAGTGAGTGCAGAATGACGTAAACCAAAATAAATTTTAATCTGAGTCCTCTAGTTTAATTTTCTTTTGCAAAATCAGAATTGCTTAACTATATTTTAACTAACACGTGGAGTAAGAGTTTTTCTCTACTCATTGATTTCAGACTGCAGAAATTGGAATGACTGAGAACGTTGGGGATAGTGGACTGCGTTTTGAGATCTGGTTCAGAAGGAGGAAATCTCAAGACACATATATCTTTCAGGCCAGCTCTTCCGAGGTCAAATTAACCTGGACCAATGTCATAGGAAAAATCCTGTGGCGACAAGCTCTGAGAAACCGAGGTATGTCAGTTTTTTGTTGTTGCGGAAGTTGAAAAGAGATTTTTTTGCATGAGGTTTCCTGTAGGATGTTGTAAAACATATTCTACAGTTAACCATGTAAATATACGAATCAGCCTTCCTAGGGAAATACTAGAAGTGGTTAGTACTGATGCATTCAAATGCAAATTAGATAGATTCCTATCAGAATTTATTAGAATACAGCATGTGGGTAATTGGTAACATAATGCTAAGGAGAAACAGGGCACTGAAACTATAGTTTCCAAATCTTTCCATTGCTGAAGTTTCTCATCCTGCACCTGAGTTTGTGAAGACTAATTTCTTACGATTGATTCTATGAGTTGGCATCTCCAATATTATTCTGCCATGTGCCAATCAGTTTGGCAAATTGCATGGACATTTGCCTTTTCTTACCTGCCACATCCTATGTTCCTTACACCCAATTGGTTTGTAGTGAAAAACTGAAAGAGTCACTTAGGTCCCTCCCTGCCCGCACCAGTCTGAGGTTATTTTGACTGCCGCTTTAATGATAACGGTCATTTTCATTATCATGCCTTCGATCTATTTTTCTTAATTGTGGACAGGAAGTAGATGCCAGCCTCGCCAAAACAGTACAGTGCATGGGTTCACATTCTGTCCAGCGTGCATGTACCTGAGGGTACAACACTTCTGGAAGGATCTCTCAGGAGACAGAGCACCGTGGGTGCATGAGAGGCTGGAACAGTTTCTTGTGGAGCCCCTGGGAGCACTTCTGAACAATCTGGTGAGGGAGATCAATTATTTTCATGACATCCCAATCTTCTTAGACTCCACTTCAGCCTGGCTGAAATAGGATGGTTAGTGACTTACCCAGTCCAGGCTTGCTTTAAGATGCCTTTGTGACCTGATTGATGCCAATGGTCACCAATTTTCATATTCGTTTCAACAAAAGAAGTAATGAGTACTATCAGCAAGACTGATAGAGAGCATCCAGAATGCCATTACAGTGCCTGCTGATTGCTCATTGGAATAAGTGAGCCCATGTTGTGGTACTGAGCTATACATCCCAGGAGGTGGCTGGCTTCAATTTCTGATCTGGAGTCATCTGATCACAGCAGTCAGGATACTGTCTAATTAAGAGATAGTAGGATCTGCAGATGCTGGAGAATCTGAGATAACAAGGTGTAGAGCTGGATGAACACAGCAGGCCAAGCAGCATCAGAGGAGCAGGAAGGCTGA